GTTTCTTTTGCCTGGGAAGTTTTACTCTTCTCAACCTCTGGAGATTTTGAACAATATCCATAGAGCTTTTTCTTAGACTCATTGACAAGAGGACATACAACACTAAAGAGGAGTAGAGTGAATAAGTGTTGGAAAATGTTCTTCATGTCACTATAAGAAGAAGTATGCACAATTAGTGTGAAAATATCCATGATTATTGATTTCACCAATTTGTAGTCATCCTTTGATAAATTGTCTTTCTTCTTTAAACGAGACACCTCTTTCTTGAAAGCATCGACAGGGTTCGTTGGGGTTTCCTGTTTATTAGAGTTACATTGCGACTTACCATCTTCTTTGTTATCTGGTGCATCGCTTGGAGGTGGTGGATCATTAGTCCAGACTTTGGGCGACGGATAATAATGGTTCTTGGTGGATTGCCCGATTGCCTTCTTGAAATGGGCATAGTCCAGGTGGGGAATCACAAATTTAGAAAGACATCCCATCACCCTCTCATCAGAGATGCCTTTGATAACAAAACTGTGAATCATCTGCAAAAAAAACCACAACCTCATTCCATTAAAGGCTTTTAAAACAACAGCATTCAGTTCGGCATACGAGATATCCAGCACAATGAAATGATCGCCTAGGGAGACATGGTTACTTTCAGCAAAATACCTGAAAGAACTCAGCCAGTTGGAAAGGCTGACAGCGTTATGGTTAGAACTCACTAATTCTGCCAGCGGGATTATGTGATATTCGTTGGGCGCTGTGAATTTGAAAACTATGGAGTAATAATAGACAACATGATCCGAAAGGCAAACTTTCCGCACCACACTCTCTGTTGCATCCAAGTGCAAAGTTACTCCAACACTTTCAGATTTCTTGGAGAGGAGGGCCTTGGCACGTTTGAACAAATGCAACCTGTTCAAACAGTAGATATAAACCGCTAACGGATCCTGAACAACCCGGATATACTGGATACCCTGGTAAGTTTTCTTCACTTGCTCCCTCCTCATGGAAATTGCAGACAAAAATGGGTCTGAGTGAAGATCATCCTGTCCTCTGGCTTCATGAGCTAACTTGGCATATGTTCCAAGGGAACGGATTTCTTGGGCATTCCCCTGAGACAATGCAGTTTCGTCGGCTTTATGGATCATCTTCTCTCTCAAATCAAGAGGTTTGGCATGGGCTATCTCATACAATTCTTTACGATGAGGACCGTTCAGGGGTCGCCACTCAGGTGTCACTCCATGTCGTTTTTCCACCTGATCACAATAGACGTCCAGGGTAGGTTTCGAGTCACTGCCATCATTAACAGTTATTACAAGCCTGAAGCGCCTACAACCTTTGTGATTACAGTGGGTCAAAACGTTTATTTTAGTATTGGAGTCACTATTCCACATGTAGTGTCGGTCACAAATTATGACACATGCAGCCTCAACAACTTTGACCGACTCGCGGAGACCATATCCGTATTTCCTCGGCAATAACTTACTGCCACCCCAAATCATGGACCAATTTTTTCATTGATGATGCAGCTCCCTAAAAAATTGTCACAAACGGTCCTTGTGGACGGACGAGCACTGTTGTGGGGTTTATGATGATTGGCTGCGTGAGGTAAGTCTTCCAACAATGCTTCAAAAGGCTAACTCGATACATCCCCGCTAACATCTGCAGGCTTTGTAATCGGGTCAGGAACATTATCTCCTAGGATCTTTTCAACGGTTGGAGAGGGGACCGAATCATTGGACACATCTGGTAGGAGGACACTATTTAGTGCGGTGTTTGTCTTCACCCAAGTTGCAGAACTTGAATGACTATTTTTTGCGGTGTTTGGCTTCACCGGAGTTGAAGAACTGGAATCAATGTTTTTTACGGTGTTTGGCTTCACCGGAGTTGGAGAACTGGAATCAATGTTTTTTACGGTGTTTGGCTTCACCGGAGTTGGAGAATCTGAATGACTATTTTTTACGGTGTTTGGCTTCACCGGAGTTGGAGAACTTGAATCAATGTTTTTTACGGTGTTTGGCTTCACCGGAATTGGAGAACTGGAATCAATGTTTTTTACGGTGTTTGGCTTCACCGGAATTGGAGAACTGGAATCAATGTTTTTTAAGGTGTTTGGTTTCACAGGAGTTGAAGAACTGGAATCAATGTTTTTTACGGTGTTTGGCTTCACCGGAATTGGAGAACTGGAATCAATGTTTTTTAAGGTGTTTGGCTTCACCGGAGTTGGAGAATCTGAATGACTATTTTTTACGGTGTTTGGCTTCACCGGAGGCGTGGAAGTTGAAGAACGTTGCAGCACCTTATGGATTCGATTCTTGGCTTCATTTGTAGGCTTGAGACCCAGTTTCAGGCAAATCTTCGCATATTTGTATGAAGAGTATGGACTCTTCGCCAGGATTGCTGCCTCAGAGAATTTTAATGCCTGTAGGTGTTGTTTCAGTATGGAGTAAGAAATGGGCCTACAGAACTGGACGGCATTTTTTTTCTTACCCATGATGGTGATTTCTACATGTGAAGTACTAGATTGATACAAAAAGAAATGGTTCAACTTTAAGAGATAATGTAAAAATGGAAAAGATAGCTGCTTAAGAAGATAACTAAGTAAGTTTTTTTTTCTCATTGAAAGTTGTGGAACATAGGTAGGAGCACTTCATAATGATTAAGATTTCAGGGTAGGCCGACAAATAAAATATCGATGGCTAAAGTGCAAAACGTGGTAACTCCAATGCAAAGTTTGAAAATTAGATACATTCTACATAAGGGTTCATATTTTACCTTTTCGAATGGTAGCAAGCGAAGTTTGCAGGTTGAAATTAATTACACTCTGCTATCAGAGAAAATAAATCAAGGATAATTTCAAGAAATTAGGTCAAACAGTTTTCAGAGGAAAAAATTAAAAGCCACAGACAGTCAGCAAACAAGGAAACAAAGATGGGTGGTTTCCCACTTTGGCCATTGATATAAACGTGCATCACTCAAGAGAAATTTTCACTGTGCAAGGGTTTTAGTAGATTCTTTGGGCATGGTTGGGGACTGAAAGGCTATGTATGTATTAGAGGCGGAAGTTTGTCGGCAGTCAACCACAAGTTGAGGCATAAAGGTAAACGTGGTTATTTGATACGAAATAATAATGGTTTGCAGCATTGAGCAACCTAAGATGAATAAGGCTGGTGAAAAACAGGTCAAATTCCCTACTTCAGTTAAGGGGATGATTTTCTTGACATGATGTGGAATCATAACGTTAGATTTCACAATTATCGGTCAATAGATGTTAACAATATGAAGATCCTGCTTAAGATGAAACAATCAAACAGAATTGCAAGATAGGGTGATTCATGAAAGTTCTTGACTTGATGAAAGCACCTATTAAGTAAAAAATTTCAGCAGGCTTTGCAATTTCGAAGAAAACCATAAGGATAACCTCTGGACCTGAAGCAGCGGAATCATTCTAAACAAAAGATGTGTCCAAAATCTAGAGGAATGAAAGTAGAATCCTGTTCGGAAAAAAACAAAGCGTTGAATACAAAAATTGATAAAAACATGGAATGGGACTTTTTACGAAACAGGATTGTTCCTTGATTTCTCTCTTTTGTGCAAATTTCATGGTTTAGAATGATTCGTAAGGCTCAAGCAAAGCGGCTAACATCGTTCATAGGTGTTGAAATCAGCTAATTAGCAATTCTAACATATAGTAATTCCATACAGTTGGTAACCTATGTGCATATTGTATTCTTAGGTTGGCAGTTCCAACTTTTTCCCTAGTGTGTGCGGCCCCCCTGCGTGGGATCCTGGTCAGGTTTTGTTCGCGTCTGTTCCTCGTTGAATAAATGATTCGTGCACTCGTGCGATGTTAAAGCTATAAACTCAGAAGTTTTTCTTCGCCCTTTTCTACAATAGGGGTGGGAGAGCTGAATCTTCAGAGTTGATTCTATAATCAATTAAATAATTAGAACTGGGGAAAGAAAAGAATAGACAAATGCCACAACCAAAGATTGCACCATTCAACAGATACCTACATGCCAACCAATGGGCCAACTGATGATTGATGCATTCAGACTGATGTGACTTTTGTCTATTCTATTCTTTACCCAGTTCTAGTAAGACAGACAGGAGCTTTTCAGTATCGCGGAAAGAGGTGGATCACAATGTAACGCATTGCATCAAGATCCACTGTGATCTAAACAGTTACACAGGGAAAACACTTCAAAGGGTCGTAATCACAGTGGTGAATACATTTGTTAACGTTTCATAGCATAGACTGTAGCTAGCTGTGGTAGGTTCAGATCACACTGGAAGGCGATCTACACCATCCTCGGGAGAGGGATTCATCCAATGTCCTGATCCACTGGAATGCAGCCGAGGATCAGTATATAAAATACACATGTTCATTCATATCCACAATGTTCAGGATAAGAAAATGACCTATGGACAACGCCAGGCACAGTGAGGAATCATATTGATCTGCTTATTCTCTTTTGGAACAGTCTACATGATTGAACAGGGCCGATAATTTCAATAATACTTAGTTACAGTAATGACTCCTTTGCGTATGTAATATTGACGAGCAGACAGTAAAGCTCATGCCAAATATGTTTACCCACTTAGACGCATTTAGTGGGACGTCACATCTCGATTTAATTTCAATATCTCGAAAGTCGAAATGTGCCCCAACAAAGGAACACATCGTTCGTCCAAAGACTAAGTACTATGTCACGAGCTTAATATATTGTCAATTCATGTGAATGTGGTCTCAAACGTTTTGGAAAACAACTAGCTTTCATAATTTTACGGTCTCATGAATTAATGTTTCAGTTTTGGGCTAGTTTTAGCATTCTTTCATCAATTGTTCATTTGATATAAAATAAATTTGATATAAAATTTGACAATTTATTTAAATTCTCAGTAAAAGAAGAATTATGAAAGTATATTGATGCAGTTGATTCTGATAAGACATAAATATACACCCATGTTCCCATTTAAGTAAAAATACAAAAGTGAATCGGACAACATACCTTGATGACAAAAATTTTATTTTTCTTGGCTTGGTCTGCTTGTGTCCCTGCTACAACGTAAGCAGTTCTAGGTAATGCGTCTCGATTTTCACCTAACGAATCCCTCAGGATATCAAAACTTAGACAAAGTGAGCCTGGAAAAGGAACAAAGTTTCATTAAAATTGTTTTAGTTGCTTTTCTCAACATAGATCAAGGAAATATGATGACTGAAGAGGAGACCTAGGATCTCCGTAGTGGTGTCTCGAACGCTCTCCTCCTATATCCTGGTTTTTCAAAGAGGCAAGTCAACTACACTTACAGCACTAAAATTTCCACAGCATACTCTGCTAATTAAGAAGGAGAATGAAGGTGCTTAGTTTTCAAGAAATTAAGCCGACTGGTTTTCGAGAGGAAAAGTAAAGTATGACAGGGATTCCGCAATGTCGCAAACAGGGATACGTATTTTCGCACTTTTGTCATCGATGGTACTTAGGGAGCTGAGGAGTTTTAGAGCTACATTTGGATACTGATGACTACCCAACTACACTAACTCCTTGTTTATTCCTTTAAAATTTATCCCAACGGGTTATGGCCCCAGTGTAGGTATTCTTACTAGTGTAAAGCATTTCGTCCGTTCTCTTAAAATGGACCTAAAATCCGTAAAATATTATACAGGCCTTTGACAGGGAAAAACGCAGTGTCTGTAAGGTTAGAATTCAGAAATTCTGTTAATCAAGAAAATGTGATGGATGTGAATGTTTAGATGATTGAAAGGTAAATCATCGCCACATGAATTCTTGCAATAAGCGATTGAGAAAACAGTCGATGCTTGGCGATACAGAAAGTGAAACGTTCAACTTGTGCTGGGATTGAAGAGCATTCCAGTGATATTAGTAACAGAAAATTAGATGTACGACGTTTTTTTGAGTTTGCTGATCCCAGATAGTGAATGCAAAAATATAAGATGGAGAATGACGACAACAACTGAGAAGACATAAATGGCTGGATAAACATGCGTCATGGAGTCTGGTCTCAAAACTAGTATGGAAGACGTTTGGTTCTGCCCTGAATTACCATAAAGTTGGTTATCAATACCAAAATTTGGAAAGCTGATAATGAAAGATATTCTCGTCAAACTAGAAGACAACATTTTTAAGGGAAGTATCGTTGTCTTTTGTGGTAAGCCTTTTCTGAATTATAATATTGATGAGAAATTACTGGTCATTATTCCGACAAGGAAAAGGTTTGAGAGTGAGAGCCATACACAGAGTGAGATAATAAAATTTACTATCGAGTTGAAAGATCGTCAAATTTGTGCGCATACTGGCCTCATTTAAAACGTATCCCACGAAATGATAATGTATGTGAGTTGTAAAAATAGTAAAATTTGTCTATCCTTGACGATTTAAAGATGGATATCATGACAAATTAGACCTCCTTTTAAAATGCACTTTAGTTTGCAAATTTTTGTTGAATTTCTAGGAAGTATACACTTCCAAGTAAATTAGATTTTGTAGAACTTAATTCAGTTGAAGGGAACGATGCACCCTCTCAGAGCCTCATTGGGTGTTTGATGTGCATAATGATATGCACAAGACCTGATTTGTGCGCTGCAATAAGTATTTTAGGCAGATATACAAGCAAGAACAATAAGATCTTGTGGCAATACTTAAATAAGGGTGTTAAGATACCTAAAAGGCTCAAGGAATTTGAAATTGACCTAATTGAACTGTTGGTCACTGTGATTCTGATTTGGCAACAGATGAAAACGATAAAAAGAGCACGACGTGTGACGTCCAAATCTCGTTGCGAAAATTACATTGCGAGACTCTCAGCATTTTTTTTGGTTTGAATTGGGCATGTTTTCTTCTATACTGTGTTTATGATAGAAATTAAATTTGAAACGAAACTAAACAGTTTGTGTCCAGAAAGGTATCACGCTTTGTTTGAGTCACCAAAAATCCACGAACCCAGCAGTAAAATGGCATCACTAAGCGAATGGTGAAAGCCGTATTAGATAAAGCTTATGTAATGTTCATTGCAGTAAAATTATATGAGGCATTTCACAAATGGATATAAAGTGTGGGATGTGGAGAAGAAAATGTTTGTCTCGGAGTATAGTAATTGTCGATGAGACAAAGAACCTAGACCTGTGTTGAAGTGCTCTGTGGATGTAGAAAATGAGATGAAAAACTGACGCATCTGACTGTGAGTCAAAATCAGAGCTTCATGAGGAACCACGAGCGTCAACCGAGATAAGTAAAAGCTCAGAGAATGGATGTCTAGCTCTCTAGTGAAGAAAACAGGGTGTTGTCGAGACCCATGTGGAGATGGATGAATAGAGGATGGAATCTCTATGGGTGTGTTTAGCTCACCGATTATAATCCAAGATGCTTTTTGATCAGACATAAAGCGTGGAAAGTGAAAAATGAAATTTTGTGTGACATAATATCGAGATTCATAGTAAAATTTCGAGTGACCGAAAGTTAGTCAATAGGAAACTAATTGATCTGAAAATTATAGTGAATAGGAAACCGATAAATCTAGTAATAAAATCAGAATTGTTCTTAAACTTAATACTTTAGTTAACTCTGGAAAAGGAACCGAGTTAAGGAAATTAAAAGTCGTGTGAGCGATTCAAAAGCAAATGATTGGTGTGGAGTCCACAAAACTTACTCAAATTCTAGATGTGATGCGTGCACGACTGCGCACTGGACTAAAGATAGCTACAACGGGCCTCAACTACAATGGTCCCACTACCCGGTTACAGTGCTCCGCCGCACACTAGGTCCGGTACATAGAGAAAGAAAAGGAGGTGTTTGCATTTCGGGCATCTTGGAATTTTTTGATGACTTGATGACGTAGCGACGTCCCCTTCACGCTGAACGTCGCTGTGACGACCTACGTCATAAAGTCGTCAAAAAATTCCAAGATGCCCGAAATGCGAACACCTTTTTTTTCTCTATGGGTCCGGTATGGGTACCTGGGATCTTGAATGGGCGTTCGATTCAGGGTTCTAACTTCTTCTGCTAACTCACATACTCTTCCTTCATCCAAATATTCATTCATATTCTGACTATTCTGGACTACGCCACCGAGCAAATATTGGGTGATATTATCATACTATTATTATTATTATACTATTTTTTTTATTAATTTTTTTTCATTTTTTTGTCTCACAAGATTTCTCCTGGTATTGAGAACCCGAGACGAGTTAAGGCCTTAAGGACAAAGGTTTTGTGTCCTGTACATGCCAAAACCATTAAAAATTTAAAAAGTTATTATTCTTTAATTTCTTTAATGCTATAAATCACGAGAAGGGGGGACGAAAGCGGAATATCACCAATCATCGGCGAGAGGGCAAGGGGGGGGGAGGAGGGGCCTCATGTGATGTGCAAAAGATTTGTGCGCGGATATTCGTACCCACCACTCAAACCAATATGCTCAGAGAACAAAAATCCGTTGTTAACGTGAAAATTCTTGAGAAAATTACGGTTTTCCCGAGCAGCCTCGTATCAATGCCCTATTACCTACAACGCATCGGAGGAGTTTCCGGGAAAACTGAGGATATGTGCAAAAGATTAGTGCGCGGATATTCGTACCCACCACTCAAAGCAAGATGCTCCGAGGAAAAAAAACCGTTGTTAACGTATAAATTCTCGAGACAATAATGAATCCGAGAGCTTTTCCGGGTAAACTGGGGTGATGTGCATATGATTTGTGCGCGGATATTTGTACTAACCTCTCAAAGCAATATGCTCCGAGGAAAGCAATCCGTTGTAAATGTGAAAATTCTCGAGAATATTATGGTTTTCCCGAGCAACCTCGTATCCATGCCCTATCACCTACAATGAATCCGAGATCTTTTCCGGGAAAACTGGGGTGATGTGCATATGATTTGTGCGCGGATATTTGTACTAACCTCTCAAAGCAATATGTTCCGAGGAAAAAAATTTGTGGTTGACGTGAAAATTCTTGAGAAAATTACGGTTTTCCCGAGCAGCCTCGTATCAATGCCCTATTCCCCACTATGAATCCGAGAGCTTTTCTGGGAAAACTGGGGTGATGTGCATATTATTTGTGCGCGGATATTTGTACCCACCACTCAACGCAATTTGCTCAGAGAACAAAAATCCGTTGTTTACGTGAAAATTCTTGAGACAATTACGGTTTTCCCGAGCAGCCTCGTATCAATGCCCTATTACCTACTATGAATCCGAGAGCTTTTCCGGGAAAACTGGGGTGATGTGCATATTATTTGTGCGCGGATATTTGTACCCACCACTCAACGCAATATGCTCCGAGGAAAAAAATTCGTGGCTAACGTGAAAATTCTTGAGAAAATTACGGTTTTCCCGAGCAACCTCGTATCAATGCCCTTTTACCTACAACGAATCCGACAGCTTTTTCCGTGGAAACTTAGGTGATGTGCATATGATTTGTGTGATATTCGTACCCACCTCTCAAAGCAATCTGCTCCGAGGAAAAAATCCGTCTTTAACGTGAAAATTCTTGGGAAAATTACAGTTCTCCCGAGCAGCCTCGTATCAATGCCCTTTTACCTACTATGAACCCGTGAGTTTTTCCGGGAAAACTAGGGTGATGTGCATATTATTTGTGCGCGGATATTTGTACCCACCACTCAAAGCAATATGCTCCGAGGAAAAAAATTCGTGGTTAAAATGAAAATTCTTGAGAAAATTACGGTTTTCCCGAGCAACCTCGTATCAATCCCTTATTACCTACAACGAATCCGACAGCTTTTTCCGTGGAAACTTATGTGATGTGCATAAGATTTGTGTGCGGATACTCGTACCCACCACTCAAAGCAATATGCTCCGAGGAAAGCAATCCGTTGTGAATGTGAAAATTCTCGAGAATATTATGGTTTTCCCGAGCAACCTCGTATCCATGCCCTATCACCTACAATGAATCCGAGAGCTTTTCCGGGAAAACTGGGGTGATGTGCATATGATTTGTGCGCGGATATTCGTACCCACCACTCAAACCAATATGCTCCGAGGAAAAAAATCCGTTCTTAACGTGAAAATTCTTGAGAAAATTACGGTTTCCCCGAGCAACCTCGTATTATCAATTCCCTATTACCTATGAATGAGCTTTTCCGGGAAAACTAGGGTGATGTTCATAAGACTTGGGCGCGGATATTCGTGTCCACCACTCAAAGCAATATGCTCCGAAAAAAAAAATCCGTTCTTAACGTGAAAATTCTCGAGAAAATTATGGTTTTCCCGAGCAACCTCGTATCCATGCCCTATTACCTACAATGAATCCGAGAGCTTTTCCGGGAAAACTGGGGTGATGTGCATATGATTTGTGCGCGGATATTTGTACTAACCTCTCAAAGCAATATGCTCCGAGGAAAAAAAATCGTGGTTAACGTGAAAATTCTTGAGAAAATTACGGTTTTCCCGAGCAGCCTCGTATCAATTCCCTATTACCTACTATGAATCCGAGAGCTTTTCCGGGAAAACTGGGGTGATGTGCATATGATTTGTGCGCGGATATTTGTACTAACCTCTCAAAGCAATATGCTCCGAGGAAAAAAATTCGTGGTTAACGTGAAAATTCTTGAGAAAATTACGGTTTTCCCGAGCAGCCTCGTATCAATGCCCTATTACCTACTATGAATCCGAGAGCTTTGCCGGGAAAACTGGGGTGATGTGCATAGGATTTGTGCGCGGATATTTGTACCCACCACTCAAAGCAATATGCTCCGAGGAAAAAAATTCGTGGTTAAAATGAAAATTCTTGAGAAAATTACGGTTTTCCCGAGCAACCTCGTATCAATCCCTTATTACCTACAACGAATCCGACAGCTTTTTCCGTGGAAACTTAGGTGATGTGCATATCATTTGTGTGCGGATATTCGTACCCACCACTCAAAGCAATATGCTCCGAGGAAAAAAAACCGTTGTTAACATATAAATTCTCGAGACAATAATGGTTTTCCCGAGCAACCTCGTATCCATGCCCTATTACCTACAATGAATCCGAGAGCTTTTCCGGGAAAACTGGGGTGATGTGCATATGATTTGTGCGCGGATATTTGTACTAACCTCTCAAAGCAATATGCTCCGAGGAAAAAAAATCGTGGTTAACGTGAAAATTCTTGAGAAAATTACGGTTTTCCCGAGCAGCCTCGTATCAATGCCCTATTACCTACTATGAATCCGAGAGCTTTTCCGGGAAAACGGGGGTGATGTGCATGTGATTTATGCGCGGATATTTGTACTAACCTCTCAAAGCAATATGCTCCGAGGAGAAAAATCCGTTCTTAACGTGAAAATTCTCGAGAAAATTACGGTTTTCCCGAGCAACCTCGTATCAACCCCTTATTACCAACAACGAATCCGAGAGCTTTTCCGGGAAAACGGGGGTGATGTGCATATGATTTATGCGCGGATATTTGTACTAACCTCTCAAAGCAATATGCTCCGAAGAAAAAATCCGTTCTTAACGTGAAAATTCTCGAGAAAATTACGGTTTTCCCGAGCAACCTCGTATCAATCCCTTATTACCAACAACGAATCCGAGAGTTTTTTCCGTGGAAACTTATGTGATGTGCATAGGATTTGTGTGCGGATATGCGTTACCACCACTCAAAGCAATATGCTCCGAGGAAAAAAATTCGTGGTTAAAATGAAAATTCTTGAGAAAATTACGGTTTTCCCGAGCAACCTCGTATCAATCCCTTATTACCTACAACGAATCCGACAGCTTTTTCCGGGGAAACTTAGGTGATGTGCATATGATTTGTGCGCGGATATTCGTACCCACCACTCAAACCAATATGCTCCGAGGAGAAAAAATTCGTGGTAAACGGTAAAATTCTCGAGAGAATCCGCGCACAATTCTATTGCACATCACTTTAGTTATCCCGGAAAAGCTCTTTCTTACGTTGTAGGATGTGGGGATTGATATGAAGGTTCCTCGGGAAATCTCTAATTTTCTCGAGAATTTTCAGGATAACCACGGATTTTTTTCCTTTAAGGATATTGCTTTGAGTGGTGGGTGTGTATATTCGGGCACAAATGTTATGTCATCACCTCAATTTTCCCGGAAAACCCCTCGGATTCATTTTAGGTGATAGGGCATGGATACGAGGTTGCTCGGGAAAACCATAATTTTCTCGAGAATTTTCACGTTAACCACGAATTTTTTTCCTCTGAGCATATTGCTTTGAGTGGTGGGTACGAATATCCGCACACAAATCATATGCACATCACCTAAGTTTCCACGGAAAACCCTCGGATTCATTGTAGTCAATAGGGCATTGAAACGAGGCTACTCGGGAAAACCGTAATTTTTTCAAGAAATTTCACGTCAAGAACGGATTTTTTTCCTCGGAGCATATTGCTTTGAGTGGTGGGTACGAATATCCGCACACAAATCTTATGCACATCACCTAAGTTTCCCCGGAAAAGCTCTCGGATTCGTTGTAGGTAATGGGGGATTGATACAAGGTTGCTTGGGAAAACCATTATTTTCTCGAGAATTTTCACGTTAACCACGAATTTTTTTCTTCGGAGCATATTGCTTTGAGTGGTGGGTACGAATATCCGCGCACAAATCTTTTGCACATCACCTACGTTTTCCCGGAAAAGCTCTCGGATTCATAGTAGGTACTAGGGCATTGATACGAGGGTGCTCGGGAAAACCATTATTTTCTTGAGAATTTTCACGTTAACAACGGATTTTTTTCCTCGGAGCATATATAGCTTTGAGTGGTGGGTACGAATATCCGCGCACAAATCTTTTGCACATCACCTACGTTTTCC